CCGATCGAGTCTGTTTGCCAACATCTTCAACTCCCCTCGCTGCTGTTAACCTCTTACTTCCGCTACCATTGATCAAGCGCCTTGCGCCCATTTCCGGGTGTATTGGACATGAGTGGGTGGAGAAGGCCTTGAGGACATGTGTGCCTTAAGGAACAGTTTAAAATGGCGCTTATATTTAAAATGACTCGCTTTGCTTGCAGGAAAATATATTACCACCTATCGCGGCGTACCATTGATGAAAGATCCTTTCACTCTCGCAGTTGTACCACAGTTGCTCTGGGAGCTTAAACCACGTACCATAATTGAGTTCGGCTCTTACGCAGGAGCCTCAGCACTTTGGATGGCAGATTTGTTGAGGCAATACAACTATGAGTCACGTGTCCTCTCGTTGGACATTGATCTCTCCATGCTGGCGCCTTTAGCGAGGGATTCCCGTTCTGATATTTCGTTTATCGAGGGAGATATCTTTGACGTTGAAAAACACTTCCACGAGGAACTTCTTGAGGTAAGTTAACTGACACCTTACATTTAGTGTTTAAACACTTCTTTGAGGACCCAAGATCTCATCCTTTCCTGAGGGAGAGGATATTTATTGTCACTTCAACAATGAGTTATTGAATCTTGGATAGAATTTGATGAGGTAAACCCCTGTTTGATTTTTCTATCAGGCAGGGGTTTGCATCATTCATGGGTCTCATTGCTGCACTCATCCTCAGACAAGTTCAACAGGAAAGATCTAGAATTCCCGGAAATCTGGCATGAATATCGAAAGTTAAAGTGATAATCAGCGTGTCCTTGTTTTCCACAGAATTATATCAAGTTTGTTTTGTTAATTTTTTTTCTTGTCGTTTCTTTCATTAGAGCTTACCTCACCCATGGTTCCTAAGTGAAGACTCACATGTGAACATGATAGGCATTTTAGAACATTTTCATAAATTTATGCAACCTGGAGACTACCTCTGCATCGAAGATACAAACCCAACGGGACCTGAAATATCCGGACAGGGACTCATCAAGGATCTCGGATACTCAATGTTTGGGGACTCCAAACTGAATGACCTCAAAAGATTTCTGAAAGACCATCCAGGCAAATACATGGTAGATCAGAAATATACCGATTTTTACGGGTAAGAGGTTGCTAAGTGATTTTATCCATTAAAGTAAGAAGAGCGTTACTCAAGTTCCTCTTTCCCTTTCAAGCTGATTTTAATAAACTAAATCCGACTTTGCGTTGTTATTCTTGCAGATACAATGTCACTTTCAACACCAACGGCTTCTTAAAACGGGTATAGGTCCACAGCCTCTTCGAATCGAAGATTCAGAGCTGAAGGCAAAGTGAATTGTAACCTTGAATAAAACATTAAACTCAATTCCGAGAAGGAAAATATCATTTTTTTTTTATTGATCATTGTACCATGTACCGTTGTCATTCCTTTGAACTTTTCGATGGTCTGTCTTCTCTCGTCCTATAATGAAAAAGACAGAAGAGCAGAGGGGGGAGGTGTTTGATAGCATTTTAAATCTGTGGCTGCACATAGAACGAATTAAGATAATAATTGTGGACGAATTTAGAGGGGAGCCGAGGCTATTGTTTTCCTGCAATTTTAAATTATATTCTCCAAACTGTGTTATTGGCCTTTATTTTTTTGTCACGTGGTTTTCATCTTGATCTAAGATGGGTCCTTTTGTCAAATGTGTGACTCCGGTCTTTAAATTACACATTTGGACCTGCTTCAAACAACGAATTCGTGATGAAGGTATATTGTAATTCATTTTAATCATCGCGTTCCCTTATGATTTCTTTCATCCTCGAATTTTAACACACTGTAACAGCACAACATTATGAAGTTGAGAACGTAAAACTCCAGGCTGAAATTTGCAAACGTATCTATGTCAATTCCGTACGAATAAAAAAGACTAAAACGAAAACAAAACAACAGAAGTCAGAAGTTTTAAAAATTTGGAAAAAATTTAATTCGAGAAGTAATAATTAAACTGTAAAATAAAATGGAGTTTTGCAGTGAATGACGGTACCACTGCAACAGTTAAAATTGCAAACAGCTCAATAAAACCCCTTAATCTTGTTTAAAAAAATGAGTTCACCCCGATCATCTTGGAAAGTAAGGCACTGCGGTCGTATTTTTTGGTTTCGATACAAACATTGTGATGTCCTTGAAGAAGGTAGACATCCTTTCCAGACGTGTGTTTACTATGTTCAGGTCGCCATAGGGGACTATATCAACCACATGGATCTAATCTGGATGGATATTCCTTCATTTCCCTGTACGTATTCACATTTGGAGAAGCAATCAGATTTACTTTCTAGGTATGTGTGAGCATCGCTCAGCTTGATGTTGGATCAAGCATAACGTGTGTATATCAAGATATGGATGCGCGGAACGAGTTGCTCAAGGCAGCCAGAAGCAACTCCAGATTATTTATCAGTTCCGAACTATGGCCAGCTCCAAAGCTAATTTCGTCAATTTTAACCACAGGCAGCCCAAGCTCCAGCCGTGAGATTATCATCATGCGAAATAAGAGTCATGGCGAAATATTATAAGACTTTGAAGGGGCATATTTAAGACCGCTCTTAGGAATAAAAAATGCAGTCAAACTCTCAATAAAAAATACCTCACCTTACTTCCATAATACATCGCTCGCTATCTGACCGCTTACTCTGTTAAAAACAACCCATTTTGGCGAGTTATCCATTTCTAGGTTTACCACTTACACAAGGCTTTTCTTTTGTACTCAGTAAACCCGGAAATGGATAACTCGCCAAAATGGGTTCTTTTCATCTTTCTTTTCATCGCGCTCGAAATATGTGAAGGGAAAATTGACCAATTTACCTTTGGCAGGCTGTCACTTAACGCCTCCGCCTAACGATACTGCTTTGTCGTCCTAGTAAAACGTGTTTCGAAGCTTAAGGGGGGAAAGAGATTTACAATTGATTTTTCAACATAACTTGATTGCAACGCATTTGCAATGTATCCAGCAGGCGAGAAAGACTACCTGTGTTCATCTGCTAGTCAAAGAGATTTAAAAATTGATGACGAATGGCGAACACTAGACAAGTTACTAATGACTTAGACTGCGCATTGCAGACTGTAAACAAGTATTTAAAAACTTGGAAATCACAAAAGGAAACCTCCAGTTGTAGAACAAGTGGCTTTGAAATGATGAAAATATCATTTATTATGAAGATTCACGAGGTTGGAAAATTGGAAAACGAGAACCGAAATGTATGTAAAATGTACATGCCGTATTGGTTCAATCACTTTTTCTAAACATTGTGATGGAAGAACAAATCATTGCTTTGGGAAACCAGTTTCAACTATGAAAAGCTGTTGGCTGAGATGATTTTCCCGTATCTTTGAAAATCAGATGTGATCTGCTGAAGCACATTTTTTTAATGTTATCTTTTATGTATAGCATTGCTCAAGAAAATAAAAATTCGCCTCTATAAGACCTATTTTCAAAGCTGGCGGTAAAGTAGCATCTTAACTATATAGACCTGTTTCAATCGCTCCTTGCTTTGGGAAATTCTCCGGCCGGATTCTTTACAACCTCGTGTTACGTTGTCTGAGTGGTTTTCATATGCAGACAGCGCAAAATTTGAACATTCGGGAATTAGGACTTCTATACAGTTCTCTCTAAACATTTTGCTACATTACGTCAAAAAGAAAGGGTCAATTCTGGGTCTGTAATTTTTCATGTTAAACATGAAAGACTTGACTAATGCTTCAAAATTACTGACGAGTTTATCTTTTTTTCAGATTCCAAAAATTTCTTTCCGTATTTCTTGATCAGTAATTTAATTTACGAAATAGAAAAACTGTTTAACTGGCTCACAGAAAACTGACTCTTTGACAACTTGACGACAAATTTTTGGAATTTAGCCCTGGCAGAATCCGAAAAAGAAAAAGGTACTTTTAACTTTTTATTTCAATGAAAGAACGGTTGCACATCTAAAAGATAAAAATTAACTTTTAAAGTGTCTAATATCGGACTTAGTCAATAACATATCCGATGCTTGAGGTATAACTTCAAATTTCAAATGCTGGTTTAAAAACTGTCTTCAAAGAACTAATTTTATGATTGAATGGCGAGCAAGTCTAAAGACAATTTTCAGGCAGAAGCTAGTAGCTATTTCGGAAGCTACATGAAGCAGCATGTAAACGAATTGCAGTCACTACACTAATTTCACTCTATTCTTAAACAATTCACCAACGATATAATCGATCTTGGTCAGGTTTAAATAAAATTTCCTTTCCCCGGGAGTTGGTTCTGGAGAAAAATAACAAAACAAATGTTGCAGGTACAATAGAACACAAAAACCCCGTAAGTTCAAACCCTTTTAGCGAAGCTTACAAACGTTATCGATGATTTTTGTACCTCCGAAGATTGCAAAAACTTGAAATTGAACGGAATCTGAACTAAAACTAGACGTGCAAGGTATAAAATGTGCATAGTGAAGCGTATTTAAGTACGTAAGAGTCCTTTGTGGCCTTAGCGCTCGGTAGTTTATGCGTGAAACGAAAACAAAGAAAAAAAAGGGAATTACCGACTAAAATGTGCTAAGTGCATACCGCTGTAACATGCCGACCCCAAAAAGCGCACGTAAGTAAGAGGACAAGCATTTCCTCATGCAAGTGATTAAACTGTTCCTTAGTGTCAGTCAACTCTCGCACAAGATTTTGAATTGCATTTCACTCTTTGCTATCAGAGATCGTTTCAAGAGACGTAACTTGCGAACTTTACGTCGCAAACAACCACTAGCAGTCTTGACTTCAACAAGACGAATAATTCCGTTGCGATTAGGATAAATTTTTTGAGCGATCCCTTTGGACCAATGTCTACGAGGACTGAAGCACGCAATCGCTCACTGCAAGGTTCGGTCGTCGTCTAAGCTATTTCTGTATGCTAACAGCGCATACCGTAGTAACATTTGCAAAACTTTCACGGCATGCAGTAGGTGCAACCTGGTTGGTCCATGTTCTCGCTTAACTCTTTCTTAAAACTTTGTTTACAATCCATGTTATCCTGTTCGGGTTGATTCCCGGAGCTCAGTGGTCTCTTCTGGCACACGAACAACAGTAGAAATTAATTAGGTCCCCTAAAAAGATTGTAAATCGTCAGGCCTAGAGGCAAATAATCAGATTGTTTCACAGGGAAAGGAACTACTAGATCTCCTCGAGGTTGTTTTTTACGGTGGTATTTTATTTTGCGTAGGGTTAGATAACGCCCTAACCCTAATCCATTAACTCCTAATCCACTACGTTTATTTGTAGATGGGGAAAACTTTTCAGGTTTATATTTGTGTTCATTACGCTTTGTTAGTAATGTACAGCCTAGATAAGGCCAAATGAGTGTCGATAAAGCATGTTCAACAAGGTTGGGAAACATGCCTATTCTTTCCAGCAATCTACCATAAGAGAGCGGACACGTGACAGGACACGTGACCGCAATTGATTAAAAGCCGGTACCTAATTATTGATGTAACATCGTTGATCTAACAGACGAAATGGCATGATATCAGTGCATGATTTACCAGAATCTGTTTTTACCGAATTGTAGTATGGGTTTCTTCATTTTCCGCTTCCTCCAGGTTTAACTGTAAACACACACATCCGACTAAGAATTGAAAACTGAATTTTAATTGTGTAAGAGCTGCTATAATCATAAAAAGACTGTTCATCGTTCTCCAATAGTCATCTACGAACAAAACCATTCAAGACACAACGCGTTATCTACCTCTATTTAACATTTAGAAATATCTACCGCACCTGCTGACGTCATATCCCCCTCTGGCCTAAGATAATACATCATACTATGGCAGTAAGGAATATCGTAATTCCTCTTGCTCACAAGATATGACGTCTCTCTAAATAATAACTTGCAGTTAAATATTTAAATAGTAACAGTAATCATCACAGTACATGTACATGGCCGCTCCTGTGATTGGAGCAAGGGGGGCGTCAGCACTTGACGATGAACTTCGTTTCTTGTTATATTATTTTATGATGCATAATCAAACTCAACGCCTTCAGCTCTAAGCAATAACATTTCTTCTCCCATGTTATATCTACTTTATTTAATTCTCACGATGCTTGATCAACCCAATACCATTCTGACAGGTTGAAAAGTGGTCACCGCTAAACATATGTCAGTTGTCAAATGGCTACAAGTTGACATCTTAACGTAACACAAGGAAATAACAGATCGCTCGTGCAGTGTCTCTGAATACCGAAATCACTTTGGCTTGTGTAAGTAGCGTAAAGAAAGATATGTCAAAATTCTGAATATAAAAATAAAACAGAGAAGTACAGCAATGTTTTCTCCCACAGATCTTGTCACATTCAGCCTCTCTAAAATGTCCGTTCCTTCGATGACGGTTCCATTGTTGTGGCATTTACCGTAAGAAGACTCAGTCGCCGAGCAACTGGAGGAACAAAAGTGATGCATTTTGAGTGATCTTTTTTACATTATATTCTGTTTTGACATTAACTTTTGTAGTAAAGAGAATTCTACCAACAACAATATTGTGCTGAAACTGTAGGAAGACAATAATCTTTATTTGCCGTACTATGCATATCCCTTTTGGCTTTCCTGTTATTTTTTTATTTATTTTTTTTTTTTTGGTGAAGTTATGAACTGTTGCTACTACAATGCTTTGGTAACTTTCATGAAGGTAAGGACTGACGTGCTACCAGTTTCATATCTAAAGGAAACAGTGAAAGAGAATTCCAAACAACATGTCAAGGAACATACAGCATAAGATTAATGTTGAATTGAATGTCCCGGATATTGCATACCTCAGAATTAAGCTCACCTGAATGATGGAGAATTAGCAAATTCAATGATAAGGGAAGCCTCATAAGAATACTTCACGAAAGCAGTGTACTGAAACCAAGATAGCCATGAGGGTATGTTTTTCTGGTAGAATCCGCCCAACAACATACAGGTCAGACCATATACAGCACACACCACTATTGACTTCTTGAAGTTCATTACTGTGGCACCGATACACAAACTTATGGACTGGACAACGAAAGATAAGGCTTTTTTACAAGCGTGAAGACACCCTATACTCTATCAAACAATCTGCTAATAAAGAAATAAACCGTTCAGCAGCAGCAGCACGTTCTTTATTTACTACAGTCCTTTCACTTGGAACTTCATAACCAACAGAAAGATAATTAGATCTAGAGTTGAACACTTCTTGAGTGTTATTTGTAAAAATAAGACAATAACGTTACATGGACTAATGTATTACATGTTCTACTTAGATGTCACTCAGGGTACATGTAATTCAACAAGGTTATTTGCAAGAGTCAAGATTTTGTATTCAGCTGTAGTCGCTTCATACTATAAATGAGCAGAGAAAACAAGAAACAGCTTACAAGCCGTAAGTTTAAATCCCCCGTTTTTCCTATGGCAAATTTTCATTGCACGGCTGCTTGGGCAAATCTCGATCTCCTGATATAAACAATCGAGCCCACTGTTTTGACTCTCTTACATTCTGTATGCCAATAATTTTCATTTGTGTACCATTGGCTGTATTCATAGTTGTATTGTTCAAACTGTACTAGAAATTACAGATCTTGAAAAAACAGAACAAAGAAATCTAACTGCCTTAAACCCTTCCTTGTATGATTTTGTTTACATTCACGACCCTCTCTTAAGCTAACAAAGTAGCGCAGAGATACTGAGGAACTCTTTTGGTACATGTAGCAATTCTTGGGTGTGCAGTCCTATGTCTTATGTCTAATGTCAAAGTTTGGTGCATGTAACTTCGGAAAAGTGTACCAAAGAACAAAAAAACACTTGGAAAAAAAACAACTTGGGAAAAAACATTTTAATGTTTATCAAATAAACATGCAATCTCAACTCACATGATAACAGAGCTTGGAAGAGTGGATTAAACATCCAATAAATCACTACGAAAAACAGCTGTAAAGTAAAAACAAACATGGCAATTTTCTTTCATTGCAAAAAAAAAGTAATAGGGCGCAATGTAGCCAAACAATTGATGACAAAAAAATTGAATCAAGTCAGTTAGGAAATCGCCAAAGGTTGAGGCCTCGCGCTCTGCACAAATTTTCTTTACTTCACGTCAGGTGTGTGACATGACTTATCGTCTACTCTCCACCAAAGAAACAAAACAACCCACTTCCTCTTCTCGTGAACCTGGCCGAAATAAGAAGCCGTATCTTTTTTAAAACTAAAATTAATAATTGGTTCCAAATGAGAAAAAGTATATGTTAACGTGCCATACGTATGGAAAAATTCGTTTTCTTTCTTAACTTTTGTGGTACAGTGAATGAACTGGGACTATAGGTAAAACTCTCCGACAACGCGATTTGAGAAAGATGGACTAAATTAGGCCTAAAGAATGGTTAAGGTCTAACATCTCTGTTCCCCCTCCCACACCACCCAGGCCATACTCAACCAATTTATCCAAAATGGTCAATTTCAGAGGGATTAGGGTGATTCATCGTGAACAGTGGTCTTTATTCGAAACTAACAGTGACAAGCGTAACATAACCTACCAGTGAATATCTGTCTTCAATGCTCTTCTCTTTGTAAGGAAGCTGGAACCAGATCAAGCCCGAAACGAGGGCAAGAAGCAAGTTCTGGAACAAATGATGCACGAGTACATTGTAAAAAGACCAATTTTTTTCCACAGAACGGACGAAATACTAACTTAGGAAACTTCATAATCTCAATCTTTTCAATCATTTAACAATATAAAGGTAACTGGAAATGAACGTTAAGGTGACAAAGGAATGGTCAGACAAGGTTTTTACGACTAAATAAAACGAAATAAAAAACCAGCAAGTTAGCGAGTGTCCTGTGTTAGGTCGCTGTGGTGACACAATCATAATGAGTAAGGCAAATGGAAAGTAAACACCATTTACATAACCTTACTACCTATCAAAGTATGCTTACAACAGCCACATCTGACAAGTGTACTATTTTCTACAGCTCTTGAGTTTAAGTAAATGTTTTGGTTCATCACTGGAAATGTTACACATGGACACCAACATCACCGAAATGTTACAATGGCTGTTACACATGGACACCAACATCGTACTGTTATTTCAGGTTCGACCTTTATTCAAACTATACCTAAAATAGTGCTTACCTGTGATAACTCTAACTTAGACAAAATATCTGGTTTGGACTGCTTAAACGTTCTAAGTAGGAGAACTGTGAACTGTGTTCAGAAACTTGTGGGCCATGATGTGGAAATATCTGAGAACAGGGCAGAATGATCTTCATCGTCATCATGAACATCTATTTTAGAATAATCACGTGATGTACTACGCTTGTAAGATACAACAGCCACATTGACATCTGCTACTGGTACCAGGACTTCTGAGTGGACTTGTGGAAGATGATCTGAAGATTTAGTGAATGAGTCTCTCACGCTCCTCCAAAGGGTCTTAGATGCAGATGGTTTGGGATTTGAAGCCAAGAGGTTTGAACTCTCACTCATCTCATCATTTCCAAATGGTATAAGCCCATTGCCTGTCTTACTTTCTTTTTCTTTGTACAGCATCTCCTCAGACGAGAATTCACCTCCATTCTCCTGCCTTAGGGTATCTTTCTGTTCATTCAGACTGTCAGCAACTGACAGCTCATCAATGGACTCACCACTTCTGTCAGCTGCAGGACTTGTTTTATTTTCTTTTTCAGGGACTTCAGAGTTCTCATCTACCTCATGTACATCTGAAGTACAATGAACAGACACATCATCCTTGTTCTGTAACTCTTCAGTAGCTTTTTGCTGCCCATTTTTAGGGCTCGTTTCACTCGCCATATCCTGTGATTTGTACTTGTCATCCTTCTCTGGAGTAGGACTTGGGGTATCAGTTCTTCCTGGTCTATGGTCGTAGGAAATTGCTGAATATTTCTGACCTCTTTTCTGTCTAAAATAAGAGATAAAATGTGTTTTTCTCTCAAGATGTAAGCACCAGGTAACTCTTTCCATCACCACATATGTAAATATTTTAACTACACAATGATGAAAACAATGGGAAAGAAATGTTACAGCTGTTGTCTACTTTTCTGCAATTACATAATTTCACCAACCTTTCAGCCCAGCCTTGGACAATCCTTTCTTGAACTTCCTCTCCTTCAGTAACCTTTTCCATTGAACAAATAACACAGATTGCAGCTCAGGAATTGTATGGCATAGATACGTAATTTATTGATAGCACAGCCATGCAGTTGACAAAGTATAGGTTGACCAAGCATAGGTATAAGATGACTGTGCAGTCAATGGCTGCCATCTTATCTGTGTGTTTCATGCATGAAAAGCCACCATGAAGTCATCTTCACTAAACAACTAGCTAAAGCTAATCTAAGATTTTGCAAATGAAAAGGAGGTAGCCCTTAAAGAGCTGAACTTATCTGCTCAGGCAGCCAAACAAAATGTAGGATTTTCTTCATATCATACAACGTTCAAAGTACCTGCTTGTGGAGCCAGCCATATTGTGTCAATCATACATTTACAGTATGGTGTACAAGTATGTCTACACTTTAGTTGATATCAACCAAAATTAATAACCATGTAAAGTATTGCTTACATATAAAATCAGCTGGATTAAAATGAGCATCACAAACCAAGCCAACACTTTCAAAGAAATCATGAACTCTACTGGCCTTTCCATAATATGCTACCTGTCATGAAAAGGATATTATACAATGAAATATCACAATACCACGTCAAGGTAAATATGCAAGACTTCATCACTAAATAAAGGTATCTACCCCCTCTTTGCTTAATGCAGTTTGCATATCTTCTAGACCCACAGTGTTTTGTTGATTGTGTGGTACAAATGGTCCTGGAAAGAACTCTTGGTGTGCCAGTGAATCTAATCAACATTTAAGATATTAAACTACTCAATAAAACAGCGAAGGTATGCAGACTTCAACACAATGTTCATAATTCACATAGTACTTGCATACATGTATACCAAGTTCACATATATTTTTTCCTAATTTTAATAATGATGTGTAAGAGTGAATACTGCCACTAATTTGTAAGCTTTATCTCAACATCAATACCACATCATTATGAGTGCATCCAGATCATGCTTACATGACTAGAGTTCAGGGGGGTCATTCAGTTAGTTTATCTTCCAATGCCTCCTCACTGTATTAGGGAAATAGGACACAGAATAAGTGTTATTTTACCCTTTAAGACTTAAGCTTAAGATCTGGCATATATTATTACAGTATGCTACTGAGTCATTGTTAGTATCTGTGAACTTTATAAGGGAAATTTGGAAAGTCATCACTCTAATGATGTACCTTTTCAGCTAAATTTTAAAAAAAAGCAATTAAATATATAATTCCAGCTTGGGAATTTGAAACAACAGACTTAAATTGAAAAAAAAATATTTTAACTTGAATGAATAGTAGCATTCACCGTACCTTCGATAAAGTATGCAGGTTAAAATTCAATCACACTAACCAAAAGAAGGAAGATATGTTGCTAGTACGTACACATTAAAACAACTAACAAAGAATATACACTTACATCCAGGTAAATCAAGGAAGGATTTGTTATTAACTCCGAACCAATGTTCACCCTTTTTTTCTCCCCTGTAAATGAGGAAAATTCAAGGTACTTCCTTTTAGAAATCATTTAAAAATATTTATTAAGTAGTATTAACCAACATTAAGGTACACACAGGGCATGAGTCCAGCATCTATTACATATGGCCACATTCACAATATACCAGGATAAACTATAAATAGAGGTTGAACATTCATAGCAGATTTACTAATAGAAAGGAGAAAAGGGCACTGGATTTACAAATTAACCCACAATCAACATCTCAATGGTAACAGTAAGGTATTTGTATTTAAATTCATGTCTAGCAACAAGATAAGGACCCAAGGTTAGCCATGTTTGCTCCATGAGTGACCACCCACAATAAGATGAACATGCTAAGAGTTGTATGTATGGATATAAAAACAGGTGTAAAAAGGCAATAATTCGCATCACATAATGTTTATTACTATGTAATAAAACATTTTTAAATACCTCCTGATAACCCTCTTTCAGTGCAATTCTGCAAAGGCGAAATCTATGGTCATACAGATACCTTTTATAACTTTTCAGACAAGGCATCTGGCAAACTGCAGAGAACAAGAAACATAATATGATAATGATTATATATCAGATTTGAACTTTTGAATTAGAAACACTTATATAAATGACTGTTCAGCAAAGACGATTCTGGCTCATAATTCCAGAAAACTAGGAAGATGAAAACAACCACAGTCAAACCTCAATTATCTGGATTTTTCAATTATCTGGACTCACTCTTCTGGGCCCATATTTCAACAAACAATTTTATTCACTCTCTCCTGGACCATTTCCTTTTTGTTCATTGCATTATCTGAAGCAAAAGAAAGAAAAAAAATTTGATTTAACAACCTTTAGCTAAGAAAACAGCTGAACTACAACATTCACATTACTCATCTTTGTTTTAGGTTCTGGTAAAACAACATTTCTACAACAACATTTCATTATCTGAAGCAAAGGAGAGAAAAAAATTGATCTAACAACTTTTAGCTAACAAAATAGCTGAACCTACAACATTCACATCATTCATCTTTGTTTTAGGCTTTGGTAAAACAACATTGCTAAATATTCTTGCTGGAAGAATATTGTTTCCAGAAAGTGGTGAAATCCTTCTCAATGGTACACAGTTGAACAAGAAACTGAAGAAGGCTATTTGTTATGTCCTGCAAGAAGACATTTTCTTTGCCAATCTTACTCTTCGGGAAACTCTTACTGTAAGCATCTCAGTTTTTGTCTCAGTTTTAACCATACATTTGTACAAATTTATTGTTTAGTTAATTAGAGTACCTTTGTACATGAGTGGGAATTCACATCTTTACTTTTTTGTTCAACTTGACCATGCTGCAAGTACATTTACTCTAATTACCAGTACATTTGAATCTTGATTATCCTGATTGATAATTTATTATTCAATGGTTTTTAACGGAAAATTCTCAGATGAATGTGCATCATTGCAAAAAATTTGTCAAATTAACTACAACAACTCTTTAAGGCAACAACGGTAAGTACTAAACGTGGAACCACCTAAAACCACCTACAACCACCTACAACCACATACAACCATCTACAACCACTTCAAAAATTTCAACAACCACCTACAACCACCTCAAAACCATCTACAGCCACTCGCAAACTATCTAAAACCATCTAAAACAAGGCAAGAATGTCTTAAATAAGGCAAAATGACAAAATGTTATGTACATGAAATATGAGAATAGAATGAAACCTCCACCTCCTGCTGAAATCTTACTCTCCCTGGTCTCATGTATAATCAACCATCTCATGAAATGAAATGCAAGAGCCAGTTTGGTAAAAGGCTAAATAATAAGCACGTCAAAATACTTTGTGATAACTCACCCATTAATGCTATGGGTGGAACAAAATCTCCAAGTTGCAATCAAGTGGCATATGACATACGGGATTGGTGTGTAAATAACAACACTTGGTTAACAGCAACTCACATAGCTGGAGTAGAAAACACTGAGGCTGACGAAGAGTCCTGATTATTTAGTGACCACACTGAATGGGCCTTAAAAAGGGAGATCTTTCCACAAATAACCACCCACTGGGGCATCCCAGAGATTTATCTATTTGTCAGTTGACTTAATACACAGCTCCCCAGGTTTGTCTCTTGGAAGTGTGACCCAGCCTCTTGTTTTGTGGATGCATTTACTATTAGGTGGGATTCCTTGTATATTTATGCTTTTCCACCTTTTTGTCAAATTAACAGATGTTTAAAAAAAAATTTGGAGGAACAAGTACCTCAGGGAATCATGATCTTACCACTTTGGTCCACTCAAGTTTGATGGCCACAACTTCTGAGAATGATAATTGCAATTCCATTTGTGTTGCCAAAGCACCAGGACCTACTTTCACTGTCACATTCTCCCCAAAAGTTTCACCCCTTAAGAAAGAAGTTGACTATGCTGGCATTTCTCCTATCTGGAGGATCAGGGGATTTCACAAGCAGCTACAAAGCTCATCATGGTTACATGGCAAAATGGAACAAAGAAAAAATACAGTACCTACATAAAAAAATGGCAAAACTTTTGTACTCAGAGGCAAATCAATCATATTCAACCACCTGTAGTACCTGTGCTTGACTTTCTCACAGCACTATATCAACAAGGCCTTACATACAATGCCGTCAACACTGCCAGAAATACTTGTCTAGCTATGTTACTTCAGAGGATGGGACATGCGTAGGAAAACACCCACCGGTGTCCAGGCTGATGATAGGCGTTTTTCAGGAAAAACCTCCAAGACCAAAGTATACAGAAATTTGGGATGTGTCTATTGTCCTGGTGTATCTCCAGTCTCTATCCCCTGTGAATACATTGTTATTGAAGGAACTGGCACTGAAACTTGTCGTGTTAATTTTTTTTAGTTTGCGGCAAAAGAGGTCAGACTGTACATTTGTTGAATATTGACCGCATGGTTTTTTCAAATAATTGCTACACCTTCCAGCTTGAGGGACATCTGAAGCAAAGCAGACCAGGAGTTAACAGCCTACTTGTTAAACTTAAAGCTTTTGAAGATAAAACTCTGTGTGTTGTATCTACATTAAAAGAGTACTTAACAAGAACACAAAACTTAAGAGGCTCAGAATGTTCACTAGCTATCAAAGACCTTTCAGAAAAGTTAGTAGAGATACTGTAAGCCAGTGGGTAAAAACTGTTCTCACTGACTCTGGAATTTAAATCACACAGCACACAGGCTGCCAATACATCTGCAGCTAACAAGAGAACACGTTTGCTGATAGGATACTCAGCACTGTGAAGTAACACACTTGTAAAATAAAAGTTTTGCTATGAAAATGCTTAATGTTTGTGTTACTTCAAAATCTCATGTGATCTTACAGCATGATAACGAGGTAGACTGGCAAAATTAAACAAGACTTACCTGTAAGTTGAAGTTTGATTGAGATTCTACCGAGTTATAAAGTGCTGGGAGATTACATGCCCTCCCACCCACATTAAGCCTCTGAAGCCTGAGTTGGCGCATGCGCTTGCTATCCCGTGTAATCTCCCAGCACTTGGAAGAATCTCAATCAAACTTCAACTTACAGGTAAGTCTCATTTGATTTTACTATTTTAGCACTAGCGATTGAGTTTTATCACTAGCGATTGATATTTTTTGGCACAAATGGCTCCCCAAAGGCCACAATCTTTTCCCATGACGTAACCACACCAGACACATCGTAAGCAATCGAACAACAGAAACAGCTACAGGTAATAGTTGGTTAACAATAGCCCATATTTGAAGAATTCAGATTCTAGCCGCCAAAATTTGAATTAAACGAATTGGCATGACTCTAGAATCAAACTTTTATGACGAATTCGTCCTTTCATGATTAATTAACGACGAATCACTTATTACAAATTAGTCTATAATCAAACCAACTAGGCTGTGCTTTCGTTCTGCACTTCAAGGAGTAACTTGGACCAAGTCCTTAAACTTCAAAACCGAGCTGCTAGAACAATTTTATATGCCCAAAGAACTGCAAATTCAGTTGATCTCTTTAATTGTCTTAAGTGGATTCCTATCTATAAAGAAGCTTCAATTGTCGTGACTGAAGCGTTACATTGAATTTGTTGATAGTTTCGTGACAAAAGTACAGAAATATGATAAGTAATTTGGGTTGATTGATTGTGAGATTGGAGTTACAAGTGAGTAGGAGAATAAAATAGTGTACATAAAACCAGTGTGATTGTTTGTAGCGAGATCATTTACGATACACTGAAGAGATATGCTCTTGTATTCAAGGGCTTAATGGCCAACTGCCCCTATACATGAATGAATTACGAGTGACTGTAGTGTGACCTTCAAGAATGTTCTAGAAGTAGCTGTGTTATGCTGAGTCATCCCCGAATCAATATATAAATAGAATATGCTGTAATGTTACGGAACGTTCTAAATCCTCAACCATACCTATAAAAGCTGAGCTTGTAACTAGATGTAGCGAGTAGTTTAGTTCCTGGTATAGCCCGTCAGATATCAATAAAGGTGTATGCTAGAGAATACAAGACGTCCACACTTCATGGTGTCAGGAAGTGGACTACAAACTTGAAGATAGATGTCGATCCAAGCGAAGACAGAAGAATTAATCGCGGGCGCTAAAAGAATCCAGCGGTGTTATTGGACAGACCGGAAGTGTTAACACTGCCACTTGTGAAATTTGAAGTGAATTTCGAGGTTCACATGTTGAGGAAACTGCATTTCTGCGAAAGGCCAGAGCCTAGCGTACACTTAGCGAACGTCTCACGAGGACGACAAAAGAATTAACAGGATGGACGATCAAGAGGACCCTCCGGTGCAAGAGAATCCTCCAGAAGCACCTTTAGCGCAACCTATTGTGCCACCTTCACAGTTGTACAGTCAGTTACCAACGCCACCTCCAATGAGTCTCGAGGGGAACCTGGCAGAGAACTGGACTTTTTTTAGAGAGAGTTGGGAGAGCTATAAGATAGCAACTGAACTTGATAAGAAACCCAAACCAGTCATTTGGAAACT